CCTTTCACAAGGGACAAACTGTTATTGTGTCCATACCTGAGTCTTGTCCTATCTAATCTGAACAACCTTCAGCCTTTTCATGAGGTTATTGCTCTTGTCACTGAGGTTATACAATGCTCTTGTCTTAGCATTCCCACGGCTCTCCTTTGGATGTTCTCCAATACAGCAATATCCGACACAGAGCTCCAGCCAAAACATCAACAGCATCACACAGTGCACTTTTGTTACCTCCCGGGTCTTCAATTAAAAATATTTGCTAAAAAAAAATAATAATGATATTTCAACATTGTTACACTGAGTGAATTTAAGTAGTTGTTTCTTAGGACTCCCTCCAGAATAATTTCTGCAAGACTGAGGTGGGCAAAACTATTTAAAGTCGTGTGATAGAGATAATACATGAAGCCCCAGGCATTGTCAAAACCTGTTATCTCAAAGTAATCTACCTATTAGCTCCAATATGCTTGGGAGTTACTGTCCTCACATGTTAAAAACCCAACTTTGGGCTTTTAAAAATTCAAACTCAAGAATAGCAGATGGTGTAAGAATCTGCAGTGTTGTGTCCAGTTTCTGTGAGATTCTGGCATCTTTTTCTGCATTTGGATACAATTTATAGTGGGGTTTGATGACACAAATTGCTGAAATTAATTTCTAGAGATGAGACTGAAGTGAATGTCCAGGACTGGAATGAGGATGGGTGAGTCAAGAGAGCCACAACAGCTTCATTTCTAAGTTGTTTCCACATTTGCTTTCTTTTTGAACAGTATCTCTCAGGGTGCAGCTATGTGGGAACCTTACCCTGGTCTGTCTTTCATGACAGATGAAATGTGTTCACTTGCTTTTGCAACAGCACATTTCCAGTGAATCACAGGATCCCTGTAGCTCTGCCTTGGTTTGGATGAGCACTTCTGGTTCAGAGCAGATGTCCTCTAATACACCTCTTGCTTGCTTTCTTGAGCCTGTGAAGGCCAATTGCAGACTCAAATATTTAAATAAAAAATATTCTGGAGTTGAAACTTTAAATCTTTAGAATCCAGGAAGTTCACAGTTTCTGGTGACGTGACAGTACATGATGAATGAGTACAGGAAAAAACATCAGGATGATCAGGACATCCCCTGTGCTCGCATACCAAGTTGATTACATACCTAATGCTCTGATATTGTATAATTTTCACATTCTCCTGCAAAGTAAACCAAGATTTCTCATTCCTTTAGGCTGCTGTTTGATGATAAGCCTCGAGCAGAAACCCTCTTTTAAGAAACCCTTGCTGACGTTCTTTCCCATTCTCACACCCCAGGATGCTTTTCCTTAAAATTCTTGGAAAACACAGCAAAAAAAACCCCAAAACAAACAAAAACCCAAAAACAAACAAACAAAAAACCAACCAACCAACCAAAAACCCAAAGAAAAAACAAAAACATAAAAGCAAATAAAAAAAGAGGGGGTCTGAGGAAAGAGGGCTTAACACAGACCAGTTTTCCAGTCGAGGCCTGGCAATGTGGAAAGTGTGGCTCCACCACAATTCTGCCTTGTCTTCATCTCAGCCTCTGCACTGGCACTGCTTTTCATTCAAACATGCAAGCAGTCAGCCAAGGGAGCAATTTTGGGAGAAAAAAATCAGTTTTTTCTGTAGGGATAGACCATGAATTTGTGTTGAACAGCTTGCCAGGGCAGAAAGGAGGAGGTCCTCCTTGTCCTTACCTTCCTGCCCTATCTGCCAGCCCTTGTTCCATCTCCCTTCCCTGCTTGGGGCCATTTAGCTGTTCCTCTCCTTGCTCTGGCCCTGGCACTGACTGGGACTTTCTCTAAGCTGATCAGACTCTGATGAGACTGAGTTGGATACCTTATTGCTGCTTTAGTTTTCTGCAGGGACAGGGAGTTAAACTGAGTAAGAATCTGGAAGGCACCAGCATGAGCCACCAATAAAACAAATCTGCAGAGAGACAGAGGTGCTGGCATTAAGTGCTGTAGACGTAGCCTTGCTCTTCTGCTTGTTCAGATTCCTGAACCAGCTGAGGTGGGAAATAAATCAGACCAATGCCACCACAACAGTAAAGACAAAGACATGCTGTAAGGGCAACAAAGGCATCAGTCATGCCCATTTAATCACCTTAAAACTGCTGCAAAAGGCTGAGGTCTGACTCACTACATTGCAGGGAGCAGCAGGTGATCAGGTTTGCAGAAAAGTGAACAGACCTGTCTCTGGAATTAATCAGTGTTTAAAAATTAATTCCCCCACAATACGAGCTTAATCCCAGGGGTTTCCACAGAGCTCAGTCAGTCACTGCCTCACAGTGCTGTGGAAACAAATTCCATTGATAAACCAACTGTTATCAAACACTGTAGGGACAAGGGCTCCACTGTTACTTGGACAGATGTCCCCTATTTGCCCAGTGTGTTCTTGGCTCCAGATCTTGTTCAAGGTAGAAACACACATAACACATCAGAATTTCCCCTGATTTCTGGGAATTCCCATGGCCATCAGAGCCACAGGTCTGCATCTCTGTGCAGCTTCCCCAGGGGCATAAATTTTTCTCCACAGAGCCTTCCAGACCCAGCCCACAGTGAGGTGCTTCCAGCTCAGGTAGGAAAATTTTAGAGGTTTCCTCCTTTATAGTTTAATCAAAGCCCACAGACATTTTTCCATAGCTACAAAACATGATTTTGCTGCTTTCATTCCTCAACACCCTCTTTTGTTAAAACAAAGAAGGTGAGTAACAGCAGAACAAGTTAATCCACTAATCTGCAGATAAGACACGGAGGGACTCAGATCAGTGCAGGAGGAAATAATGAGTATAATCTGATGAATGGTATCAGGAAATATCTCCTTTTAAAATGCCTTGTGGGTTTTCTGCAGTGGCATATCTGCTCAGCCTCACACTTGAAATTTGAGTGCATGCTCTAGAGGCAACTGCTTTTCTGGGCAGTAATAGCTTGTTCAACTAATTATAAAAGTTCCTGTGGTTTAATTTCTCTTTGAGAGAGCATCCTGGGCTATGGTAGAAGGCAGATGATGTTTAGGATAAAACTAATTAGATCTTCTCTTTGAACCATCTGAGAAGGTAAATCATATTAAATCTCTTTATTGTTGTAGTGTTGTCTTTATTTTCTAAAACATGTGTGATGGTGACTATTGTGCTGGGTGTATTTGCAAGAGAAGGTGTAATTACAACATTTATGTAAAAAAAGATGTTTAGAAAAATATTAAAAAGGTCATATAGCTCCCTTATGTCCTGGGTTAAAATGAGACTTTGTTATTTACTGCTAGGAATCCTCTGCCTTTTAGAATTAACTTTAAACAATATTTTCCACCTTGAATGCTGTGGAGAACAAGCATTTTGTAGCAGATCTGGACTTCTTTATCTCTCTAGGTCTTTATAAGTTGAAGATATTTATTGTTTCCCAGGAGACAGTTTGTATGTCAAATGAGGAATGTGTCTGCACATGTGCTTTGCCCACTGAAGGCAGACAGATACTTGAGAATTTGCTTGCTAAAAAGTTTACAGCAGTTCTTTTTTCATTGAGAAATTAAATGAATGAGGGGAATAGCCACATTGCTTGAGAACTTTTAATACTTTTCCCATTTGCAATTTGTTGGTTTTCTGGCTTCCAGGATACTGGCTTGGGATGTTTTGGAGCTTTAAATAGCTACCAAAGCCTGAGTAGCATCCCAGCTCTCATTTACATGAGTTGTCCTCTATACGGTGTCTTACATGTACAATTAACAGGGTGTTTGCTGTCAGCTACATAAAGTCACACAAAAGATGTGTTTGAAAATAGAGGCTGGCCCACAACATTTGAATATGAAGGCAAGTTGGGGAGCAGGGCAAAAGATAAATGCAAAACTGTGCCAGATGTCATTTACCTTCATCATAAATTTTGTTTAATGACCTTTTTGCCCTTCTATTATCTGTTTCATCAACCTGTTACCCATGTAACACAAACTCTTTGTGCAGATTAATTTTTTTTACCATATGTTGTGAGAATATGCTGAATATACAAAGCTGCCAGAAACCTTTGTTTAGTTAATGCTTCAATTATTAAGTCATGTCACTATCTCAGGAACTTGTGTCACAGCTTATAATGTTTCTCTCATGATCCACTTCAATCAATCGTGATCTTAAGATCAGCCAGATCCATGGAAGTCTTGAGTTTGTTACAAGTGGATGATGTCTTCAAAATAGGAAAATGGTCTCTTTTGTAGAATTCTGGATATAGTGACAGACAAGCTCAGGAAACAGAAAAAAATGTCCTTACATTTTTTTCCCCTCAATTCTGTTAGCCATTCGTTGATTGTATTAAAAAAAGCCTGTAACACTCTTTTATTTTAATTGATTTTGGAGTGTGGTGGGAAGGTACTCTGAATCACTGTGATGTCCTTCTTTCTGGTTATTCTGACACTGTATAGGAGAATAAGAGCACCTATACTGTGTTAGCTCAGATGTCTAGATAAAAGTTTGCTTGCTTTCTTTTTTTCTTTGTTTATTTTGTTTTGTTTTGATTTACTTTTGTTTTGTTTATGTTAGTTTGGAGGGTTTGGGGGTTTTTTGTTTGTTTGGTTTGGTTTTGGTTTTTTCCCTCCACTGCTATTCTAAAACATTTTAAAATTACTTTTCCTTCTTTAGTTGTATCTCAGAATTCAGTCGGCATTTTCTTCATACCCCATTTCTGAGTGGCAATTGTCAGTTCTGAGTCCATCACAGAATATATGATGTCAGGATCATTTCTCTCTACCTTACACTTATCAGTTCTGAATTTCATGATCAAGTCACTCAGTCTCCTGTGATCCCAATGCAGATCTTCACAGGTAGACTTTGCTTTTGTTAGTCTCAACCATGTAAAGTTTTCCATGGTGCTGCATCACTGATCACTGCCTTTTCACTTGAGAACAGAGAGTAAGGTACAGGCTTCCACCTCACTCCTGCAGAGCTCTGGCGATAACATCTCTGTATTGGAAAAGAAAATCATTTATTCCTACTTTTGCATCCTGTCTTTTAACCAGGTCAGTATCCAGGTGAAGTCTCACTCCAGATGGATCTCTTTAAGAAGCACATTTGGTGAGAAAAGTCACAGACCTCTGCTGAGCACCCACCTTGGTGACATCAGGTACATGCTTGACTATAAACTCCTTCCAATTCATGAGGTGAGACCACAGATCATGTTCAAATTGCCATTTTCTGTCATGGACTCCTCTGAGCAGGAAAGTGCCAGCAAAGCCCCAGCCTGCCTGGGAGCATTAGTTCTGGTAAATGATGGTTGCAATATGCAGCCACTGATCTCAGGAGGTGCTGAATTTCTCTTTTCCTCTTAGTGACTCACTGCCTTGCAAAACTTGAATTTGGATGAACAGCCTTTTCAATGCAAAAAGATTGTCATTTTACAAGAGTTCATTATTTTAATCAGGCTGATGTCATCATTCAGATGCTGTTCAGTACTATGCTTAGAGTCTTGCCTCAATGCTTAAAATTATTTTCACAATCCTCTTGGGTTCTGTTTTTTTCTGTAGCTCTCTACTAGTTGTTAATTCTGGAGCTAAGAAAGTGCTTTGTTGGGAATAACCAGAAAATACATATTTGTAGCAAAATATATATATTTTATGTATTCTTCAGGTCCCTTTCTTTATTCCCTTTGGTTGTATAAATGTCTCAGCACTTGTTATGAGGGTCCATGAATGTTTTACCTCTCCCTTTATGTTTCATCATTCAGTCTGCTGTGTGACTAAATTAGCTCAGGTATTAATGAGGTAGATAATGTTATTGGGATGTGGGGGTGTGGGGGTGTGATTTCAGGCACTACGTTATATTCTTGTGTGTCATGGTCCTTAGATTCTAGTTTACTTATTTGTTAACTTAAATGCAATTATGGAGAAGTGTGCTAAAAACCTCAAGATAACACAGATTATTTCCAGGAGATGCCACTCTTCGTTGTGTCCATTGCTAGCCAAGGGGTAACAAACACACAGACATCTGTAGCTGAGCCCTTGGTCATGCTATAACTCTCTCCAGAGTGGGATACAGCTGATAGCAGAGCTCTCCCTGCTGCAACAGGATAGGCCCTCACTTATAGCAATATCCATAACTGATCCCTCATCTCCTGGCTGTGCATTTCCCAAGTATCATCAAGAGGGATATTTGAAGATCTAAAGTCAACTTTTCTCTTGGCAGATTTCAGCACCTCCTTTGTCCCTGTTAGAAATCTGCTCAGGACTCTGCTTTCTCCAAATAATTTCTTTCTCATATTTTGAGTAGGTACAGCTGATATGAGGAAAAGGAAAGATAGGGGAAACAGTATAATGGCAGCACACAGGAATAATTACAGGCTTCGTTCTGTTGCATGGACTGAACAGGCAGAGTTGCTGAAGGAGGCAGGACACACTGTTTTTGTGGAGTGGGCTGGTATTTCCTACTGTGTGAGTCAGATGAAAATTTCCTGATCCTTTTGCTTCATTGTCTTTTCAGGCTGCACAGCAAAGTCACCAGGCAAAATGCCATCCCCAAGCACTACAGGTCTCCACTGCCTCTTCCTGATGGTCTTAGCCTGCTGCCAGACATCACACGGCTCAAACTTCTATCCACTCTCCTATGTAGTGAGTATCCTTCTCCAGCTCCACTGGTTTTCATTGTGTCTCTGCTTGTAGCATTCTGATGTTCTCCTTTACACACACAAAACCTTGGAAGAAGTCAGAATAAGACTGGGGGGTAATCTGAACCCAGAGTGTGTAAAAGAGATGGAAAAATCCAGAAACTGTGCTTTTTATGTTTCCCAGTCTTAAAGCACAGAAGGCACAAACACATCTTGTTTCTCACTCTGTTGGTCTGCAAGGGACTTCAGTTGCTGTCCCTGGAGATAAGTCTGCATTACAGTTACATAGGCACTGCTTGTGGATGGGATTCACCCATCCTATGAGAGAGGAACCAAATATATCTAGAAGTGGCATGTTTGCAGGTATGTGACAGGACTGTCTCAATAGCAGAACAAGTGCACATGACCAAAACTCCACTAAATTTGTGTTTAGATGCTGCCCATGAACTGAGATTTTACTTCAGTTTCCCACTTTTTCAATAATCCTCACAGATCCCTTCTGTTTTACCAACAGTGTGAATTATGGAAAGCCATTCTGTGCTTCATCCTGTACATGCATTTGCTAACAGACAGTTTCTGCACAGATTTTCCCTAACAAGAAAGACAAAAGAGTAACAGAGAAACCAGGGGTCTAACCAAATTGAAGTCAATATGATCTGGTAAAGAAAATTAGTCTACAAATCTACCAACTCTCGGTCATCACAATTATTATTAGACCAACTGGACAATACTTATTTTATCTTCTCCATTGTAAGCAAATGGAGAACCTCCTTCTTTGAGAAAGTTGAAAGAAAGGAAAGGAAAGGAAATGTGAAGAGAAAGGTGGGAACTCCTTAAGCTCTTTCTACCACTACACTGCTTTGGCAAACCAAGAGATGGCTGGTTGCAGCAGCCTCATCTGTGCTTCAGCACATGTCTAACAGTGGCCAAATATCTCATTTGGTCTGTTTTTCAAGCTGTCTTCATCTCAGCACTTAGGAGTTTTCATGAAAAAAGCAACACCTCTTTTTTAGCTCCACTGATGATGGGACAGCCTGCAGATGAGTCATTACTTAATGATGTGAAATATGTAAAGTGTTTAGCAACCTAGCAATACCCTGTGGTTGTTTGGGAGAATAACTGAAAAATGAAACCACTGAATCCAAACCTGGAGGAAGACTTGGGTCACAGTGCACTTTCAGTGACTCCTGCTGCCAAACCTCCAACACAAAGGAACCATCCCAGCAGTGCAAAAAGTGCCAGCACGCCTTGGGATCGTCACCCCAGCACAGCTGTGATACAAAACTCAGCTCTAATCACACACCAGATGGTTCCTCTATGTAAAGAGATGACTCAAGAGTTGCCAAGCTATTCACCCCTTCTGTAAATAAAGGTTTTAGTAGGAACCAAGAAACTGGCAAAGCTGCAAATTTCCTGCCTGCGTCTTTGCTTGTTTTTAGCCTTTCTTGCTAACGGTGGTGCCAATGTATTTTTAGGGCACAATTAAAAAAAGATAAGATGGTCTGAATCTCACTTGGCTGCAGCCTGTGTAAACCCAGCCATAGTGAAATGGTGCCACCCCTGCCCTGGTCAGCTGTGTGTTACTGATGGCCCCAAAATAGCTGACCTGGCAACTGAGCTGCAGCCAAGGCTTTTCAATCCCCTTCTGCCTCTGCTCAGGCTGGCTCTGCTGCTGCAGGGATGGGAGCTCAGAGCACAGAGGAAAGCAAAAGGTGATCAGAGTCCAGTTTCTGGATTTAAAGACCAAGTGGCCACGTTTCCCAAGCAGTTTGCAAGGCTGGCCCAGGACTAAGTGCACTGTGTGAGCTCTGAAGAGGCCTTGAGGCTCAGACACAAAAATCCTCCAGAGCTGGGAGAGTTGGCTTGCACAGCTATGCAAAGAGGCGTCTGCAAACTTAGTACATCCCTCAACTGGTGCTTAACCCCTCCCTGCTTGGAAGATAGAAATTTTCTATTTAAAGAGGAAGATGGGCTGGGAGGTTGGAGAGGTGAGGCCAAGAGAAGTGGGAAAAAAATATCTATGTCAGTATTTTCTTCACTAATTTCTTTTGCCAACAACAGCAGCTAAAGTTTCACTTTGTTATTGTCACAGAGCTTCACCTGTTTTTTTTCCCCACAGATTGACAGCACACTAGGACATGAAAGCTTCTACCCAGAGATGCAAAGGCAGAAGCGAAACAGTACGTACACAAATGCATGGTGACAGAGCAGGCTTCTGGTAGGCCAAGGGTGAAATTCCTGTTAGGGACAGCATCTCTTGATGTACTGAATTGGGAACATCAAGGACGAGGTGTGGTTGTGGTTTAACCCCAGTCAAGCACCACAGTGCCACTCATTCACTCTCCCCAAATGCAATGGGGAGCAGAATCAGAAGGATAAAGTGAGAAAATTCATGGGATGAGATAAAGCCAAGAGAATCCTATATGGCTCAGTCTGTGGTTGGCAACCCATCAATTTACTGATTCTACAGAGGGAATGGATGAGACAGCTATTCTATGAATATATTATGTAATTTGTATCAGCTTCCTGTGCTCTGACACCGAAGAAATCTGGCTTTTGTCAGACAAGCAGCAGATAGAACAGAAGCAGAATATCTGCTGAGTGGGAAGCAAGGAGATTCCCTAAGCAGAATACCACACGAAGCCACCATTAAACAGCAAAAAAGGCCCCAAATATTAAAGTAGAGGCCATCAGTTTGTGATCTACCCTCAAACACAGCTTTGCAGTCTCATTCTGTTTCTCCTTTCAGTGCTTATTCTTGACCTCCCCCTTCCGGAGTACACTGTGGACATTGAAATAAGCCTGCAGGATTCATCTTATCTGGAGCAAATTAAAGACTATTTCAGAAACAGTCTTCCAATTAATATTTCAAATGTACAAACAACAGTTTCAAACATCAGCATTACAACAGGTGAGTTGGTTATTGATTTGTTTATTATGGATAATGTGGGGTTTTGTCAGTATTTGATGTCTCCCACTTTTACCACCCATCATGCTTCAGAATCAGCAAAACTGAACCATCCCTGCTCCTGCTGAAAGACGCAGCAAGGCTGAAGCTGTAGCACACAACAGCATATTTGTTATCTGTGTCTCACTACTCCTCTAGGAGTAGGAGCCCTAGGAATAGCTCTGAATGCTTTTTTTTCCTAAGGAAGGGACAAAGCCGGAGGAAGCCTGAGCCAAAGGATTTTGCTCCAGTTTGGCTAACAAGCAGTCTGAGTTACTTTCAAGTTTCAGGAAGCTGTGAGAGCAGTTATCAGACTGTTTATTTCCCTCCTCCTGTATCTGGACATAGACAGTTGTAAGAGGCTGTACTCTGCATGAGACAGAGTTCACCTAATCTATTCTTACACGGCAAGATATCAGACAGGTTTTATTACACAAGCTGTGGTTGTGCAACATCACATCTGAGTTATACAGCAGAGCATACACCATCACACCAAGCATTTACAACAGCAGAGGAGATTTGATACCTTCTTATCACCGAGCCATAAACTAGCAAAAGTGTTCAACAGTTCCCAAAACATGCAAATGCATCTTAAAAAGGCCTTCGGGCTCATGTGTAATGTGTGAAAATCAATTTGTTAATAACTTATTTTGCCATTGACACATGAAGAGCAGAAAACGTTACAGTGATGCGCTCTGCTTCGCTTTTTTTTTTTTTTTTGAGGGGAGGTTGTGGGGTGGTTTTTGGTTTTGGGGACATTTTGGTTTTCTTTTGGTTTGGATTTGGTTTTTTTTGTTTTTTATTTTGTTTGTTTGTGGGTTTTTTTGTGGGTGGTGGTGCTTTCTTTTTTTTTAGTGCTTTAAAGAACTTAGTGACAGTGTTACCTTCTCTCACATAGCATTTGCCAGACACCTCATTAGCCACCGGGACTCTGAATGATCTTGCTCTTACAATTTTGAAAACCTGTACACTTGCTTTCAGCTCAGGTGACATAAAAATATCCAGTCTGAAAAGTATAATGGGACCCTGGCCAGTATGCCAGGTAAATTTTTAGGATCAGACTTCATATCTCCATTCAGTTATTTAAAAGTAATTGATTGGACTTTTCCCCGTGCCAGTCTGGTTCCCATTTCTGGTTGGTCATTTACAATTAGAGTAAAATTTTCAAGGTGTCACATCATCATTTCAGAATCATTCAAGTGAACTCACACGAAAGGCAACATTTTGAGATCCCTGTCATGAAGACACAGAAAGGTGAATATTTATCTTGCAATAACTATGCCCCATTTGCCATTCTCATGATGTTTCTCTGTCTGTCTGACTCCAGTCTGCCAGCCCAGTGGTGAGAATAGCAGCTGCTGTTTCTGTGAAAATGGATATGCCTGGCCAAGCACGGTGTGCAGTGATGTGATGCCCTGCCCTTCTCTGAGCCTGGAACCAGCCCTGCCCTGTGGCTACATGCAGGAAATGCCTTTCTATGGACCCTACTGTGAGCCCCAGACTGAAGGTAAGGGGCATAGGGCAGAACTTCATTGCTGTGCAGCTCATGTACTGCTTAGAGGTCAGAATAGTGATAAAAGGTGTGGTAAAAAAGCACATCAGGACTGAGCTGGCTACCACACAGCCTGTGAGCATGGAAAGCCTGCAAAGATGGTCTAAAGCTCCTCTCCTTGTGATATGGACCCACCTTGACCCAAACACTTGCAGATATTTAGTTGCATTTGGAGCTCTAACTCCTGGAGTCACTCCCATGCCTCTTTGGGACTTTCAGCTTTTGCTGAGCAAAGAAAGTTTAATCCCATCAGATTTTCAGCAGATGTTATGTTCACCTCATAAACATTGTTTTTTATAATTTTGCATTTTTTTTAATGTCTTTCCTTACAGAGTCATGTGGTATGGGAGAGCCCATTGTAATGAATATGTCAGTCAGACTTGACTCAGACTTCCAGGATGATCTCAAGAATTCTTCCTCTGTGTTATACCAAAAATACAAAGCGGACCTTGAAAAAGCGGTAATGACTTCAGGTTTTCATCTCTGGAGGTCGAGAGCCCCCTAAGAAAAATGGCGTTAACCCCAAGTGCCTGGGTGGCCTGTCAGAGTCTCTGTGGGGAGCTGGGAAGTGTGCAGCAGTGGGAGCTACACTGGGCCAAAGCTGGCTCCATTGACTGCAATGAAAATATTCCCATTCATTTTAATACAATGGAAAGTATTTAGGAATCTTTTGTATATAAAGCATGAAAAAAAATCCTATTATTGGTCCTAGCTCAAATCCATGGGGGTACACATGGAATGAAACCATGAACAGAAATGTATTCTATGACACCAGAACACCAGGGCTGTTGTATCAGATATGCTACATGTCCTTACTCATGTCAGGAATGGAGAGTTTCCTATTTGAGAACACTGAAGTAATACACAGAGCACTCACACCATGTAACCTGTCTTTGTTTAACAGTTTTATGACAGCTACAGATGTTTACCCGGCTTTGTATCAGCAACAGTAAAAAGTTTCAGGTAAGTAAATAATTTCATTTTTTCCTGGAAGACACAAATCTTTCCGTCCAGTTTCAAGGTGACACAAGTTAGCAAAGGTTACATTCACTCTGCCTAGAACCCACTCCCAGCATTCACATACAGAATAATCACTGCAAAGCAAAGCCCAACTATGAACATGGAATGGGATTGTGGGTAGAATTCATCACTGTGCAAAAGTACAAGAAACATAATCATTCTCCATCTGGATCAAAGCCTTTTATGGAAAAGACTGAGCTCCACCCAAAGGGGAAAAGGATGCAAATAAACCTAACATCATTTCCACGCCATGGGGAAGATAAATAGTACATTGATTCTGGATACAGCCTTGGATAAAAGACATATTGCTGCTGTCCACATATATTTAAATGCAGCTGTATTTTAGGTTTCTTAGGAAAGTTTACTAGAAATAAACATCAGACAAAGCAGGTGTCACATAAAGGTGTTCCTTCTCAGGGAAGAGCTGTAGCACAACTTTCTTATGTAACAGAGCAAGTCTTGAGTCTCAAGAGGAGTCTCCACAGGGCAGTCCTGTGAGGCCTTGCCATCCATGCAAGATGGGTCCCCACAACATAGAAAACCAATATTAACTAAATACAAACTAATATTCAAGGATATTTAATTCTGGTGCCCCTCTCATTCTTGTATCTGTTTAGCCCTGGAAGTGTTTTTGTGAACTATGAAGTAAGAACAGGAGCAGCAAGCTTCACTCAGCTTGGAGATTCCAACAGAGCTGTACAGCATTTTCTGGATTCATTGTACCAGCTAAACCCATTTACCTTCACAAGAGTAATCACTAGTAAGTTGAAAGCTCTCAGTCTTCAATCTTTACTTTAGTATTTTTAGCCTGAATCATGTAACTGCCCTGTACTGTTGATGATTTGGTACTGGACTTTCAAAAAACATTTATTCCTTGGCTGTTTCATTTTATCCTGTGTCACCAAGGCTTAGGACCTTCATGAGAGGACCATGCATGCAGTACCTCCCGTGAAAAGCCAAAGACTTCCAGCTACTCCACTGATCAGTTATTGGTTGGACTTGATTATTTTAGGGGTCTTTTCCAGCCTAAATTATTCTATATGTTCCCTGATGTGGTCTGCCCAGGGGACAGAGATTGAACACCCTTAATTCACCTCCAGAACTGAGACAGCTCTAAGAATGTCAGGCTGTCAGCACTTCCTACTCTTTAAAGCAAAACATAAAATTCTTGCAATTTACATGACAACACCTTCCCCTTGGCTTCCTTGGCACATTTTCCTTGCTGCTCCTGGGCAGTGTGTTACAATTCAGCTGCTGATCAAGTGCCCTGGGGTTGTGTTGCTCTCAGTGCACTGAGTGCTGGACTGTCTGTCTCAGAGGATTACTTCAACCTGGTTGCTTCTCCTCCCAGCTTATCTAATTAGAAAGTAGTGGTGGTGATAATAATATTTCTAACTCTTTGCATAAAACCTTCTGGAATTTTTAGCTGAGAAACTAAAAGGATATGTTGAGGGGGAAATCCCATGGCCTGTATCAGAGGTGGTGTCCTGCAGCTGACATGAAGCACCTGGGACCCCCTATAAGATGAAAGACACCATAAAGAATGTGAGCTGAAGTGACAGTAATGCAGGATGTTGTTCTCTGTCTTCCCAGATGAGACAAACTTCACCGTGAAACCCTGGAGCATTTTTGAAGGGGACACAGTAAGACTGACCTGTGAGATAAATTCAACATTCACCAATGTGACCTGGTATCACTTTGACCAGACCATCTCAAACAGCTCCCGATATTCAATAGAAACAGTTTTAGCAGCCAGAAGGTCAATTCTTAAAATTTCCGACGTCACAATGAAGGATTCTGGTATGATTTTCCATTGTTGAAACAGCAGATGTAAATCTTTACTGTGGCTAGCTCTATAAAAAGCAAAATGAATGCAGTGGCTGCATTTTCTAGAGGAAATGTGAAAATTATACAGCCCATCATAATTTTCCTGTTGTTTTCATTAATGATTTACACATTGACTGGCATTGCCAGTAAGATGTGAACTGGCTGAAGTGATTGAACGTGACTGGGTGTTCCAAGTTCCAGGCTTCATTATCATACCAGGGGAGATGGTGATGACTGCATGGCTGTGAGGCCTTCCCACCCTTTTGGTGTGGTAACTGGAGGCTGTGGTTGAATTTTTCCTTAATACTCTTACCCCCTGCACACACACGACCTAACTAATCAGAGCTCAGAGTTACAGTTTTGCATGTTTAGGCATTTTTGAAAATCAGAAACAGGTAAACTGGTGGCATTTTTCTGGGAGGAACTATCAGGGGAATTATTATGTATTATCAGAATTTGGATTCAAGCTCCCACTCAGTTCTTGTCTTTGGACCATGAATTCTACATTCAACTTCAAAAAGGGTAGCTTGTGACCAGGCATTTGGGCACACATATGTGAGGTAGGGATAGTGGATCCGAAATTCTTCGGAGTAAGGATGCCCTGAACCTTGATGTCTCCACTCCTATGTAAGTGGTCTGCTCACTTGGCTATCCCCGGGGGAAAGGGAAACCCACATACTTAAAATATGTGAGAAATTTGAAGTTCCTATTGCTGATATCAAAACCAAGCCTGACTCTCTCATGCCTGAGAGAGTGGCTGATAAAGAGAAAGGGATCTGTTGGTCCTGCTCGATGCAAATTGAATGTGAGCCAGCAGTGCCCTGGCAGCCAGGAGGGACAGCCCTGTCCTGGGGTGCAACAGGCACAGCATCACCAGCTGTGTAAGGGAGGGGATTGTCCTGCTCTGCTCTGGGATGGGGAGGCCTCACTTCAAGTCCTGGGGGCAGATTTGGCCACCAAAATACCAAAAAGGCATCAAGCTATTGGAGAGAGTCCAAAGGAGACCACAAGGATAGTGAAGGGCCTGAAGGGGAAACCATATGAGGGGGGAGAAAAAAAGAAAAAAAGGAAAGCCTGAGAGTTCAAGAAGTGTTTGAACAATGCTCCCAGGGGCATGGTGTGACTCTTGGAGGGTCCTGTGCAGGGCCAAGAGTTGAGCTCAATGATCCTGGTAGGTCTCTTCCAACTCTGCTCTGCTTGGCAATGTCTTCTGAGCAGCTTAAGAGCCCCCACTGAGGCCAGTTCTGGTGGAGTCTACCCTGGGCACCTCTCTGTCACTCATTCTGTGTAGGAATCTTTTTACCATGACATGCTGCTCCCAGAAGGACTATAGGCAATATACAGATCCCAAAAGCACCTACTTAGTCAGATTTGAAGTATTTCGGTCTGAGAACACTGGCCTCAAGTACCCATCAACAGTGAGTTCTAATCTAGATGCATTTGGCACCAGGAGTCTGTAGAAAGCATTCTGCAGGTGACCTGAGGGTACATATTGATCAGCAAGTAGCAGAGCCACTGCGGAGCAGGGACATATGAAAACCAGATGTGGAAGTAGCTCCTAATTCCAAAACAGAGGCAAACTCAGCAAAAACTGTTATTTATACTTCACAGGTTCCTATAGTTGTGTGTTCATAATGAGCAGTCCATATCACACAGAGATACACAACGCCACAGAAACAATATCTATCTTTCCGCTACAAGTCACTCCAAACTTCGAGGACATCGATGTCACATGTAACAGTCCTGAAGTGCAAGCAAAGGGTCCTCTGTTGTCCTGTTGCATTGACAGACACTTGACATCGCTTAAGGTTTCCTGGAAAGTCAATGGAACAATCAACATTACAGGTAAGATTAACAAAAGGTTGTCTTTCACCTGCTAGGTTTGTTCATTGCTCAAATGCACTATGAGGGCACTCAAAAGTCTCCTCCTAAGTGGCTGTCCCAAAGTCCTAGGATGGATACAGGGTATGCTCCAAAGGTGTGGGTGGCAGGGGGAGGGATAGACTCTGTATGTGCTGTGCAGGTGCCAGTGGGGTTTCAGGCATCCCCATACACTGATGCCTTAAACATTGCCGTCCTGCAATGCCTGGACCAGCAGCATACCAGCTTCTTCCAAAAAGCTTATTTCTGCATGGTCTGATTTTGAGAGCAAGGATGAATGCATCAGTCTGTTCTGCTATCTCTGGGATCACTCTTAGGGTACAAAGGTCTTTCATGTACCATATACTGAGATTTGGCAGTCGGTTGGTGCACGTGCTGCGCTGTGAAACAGCTGCAGTACAGGTAAATATTTGTTTGCCTCTCCACCTGTAGGTGTGACACATCACATACCAACTGAGTCAGAGGCATCTCATAAGGCTTTCCAATATAAAGAGTAAATAAGGCACCAGGTAAATGTGCTATAAAGACCTACAAAGTAACATAAACAGAAATGCTCATAAATGTCTACGATCCCTTGTGCTAAACAGTCTATTGCCCTCTTAATATTTTATGAGCATGATGTAACTGTTGATTGTTAACTATTGGCCATAAATGAAACTTAGCAGAAAGCAGGACAGTAAAATGAGAAAAAATCTTCAAAACTCATGCACACAGTCACTTCTACAGAGGACAGAATGCAGCAGTGCTTGCAGGGAGAGGGGATCCAGGCCTACTGCAGTGGGCTCTTTTACCCCAATTCCCTATGGCCAGGCTTCCCCAGGAACTCTGCTCTGCTCTCATGTCAGTTGTGCTGTCAGCTGGAGTGTGGGACAACTTTAGTGCTCACAGCTAAACCAGCACTCTTCAGATTTTAAGTTGAATGCCTGTCAAGTGCCTCCATATTTTTATTTCAAAATTAGACAACATTAAAATCTGCAGTGTTTACTCCTGTTTTACTTACCTTTACTCACCCTAAATATCAGATAATGAGGTTAGGCTTAACCAGAATACTCTTCATTTTGGTGGACCCTGAGATTTCCAAGCAGTGCTGTTGCATTCCGATTGGTTTTGGTAGGAGGAATCTCAGCACAGAGCTGAGTGCTGCCATTCTGTGAGTGTTGCCAGAGTAAAAGATGTGAATGAACTTCAGCAATAATGAATTAAAAGCGCCATGATGTCAATTACATACAAACCCACGAGGGTTTCCATAGCTGGAGTAATTGCTTGTGTTTTCCAGAGGTATTTTTGGACATCCATAGCCCTTCAAACAATGCTTATTTCTCTCTAGGAGTATCCATATTGAATGGAAACTGCACTGAATACCAGCTCAGCATCAACGAGTCCCTGTGCCCAGCTGAGATGTCAGGTGCAGTGACCACATACACGTGTGAGCTGGAGACTGGACACGGAGCCAGGCGCGCTCGGAGCATCAGAGTCACGTACCTGCGGAAAGGTGAGGGCAGGGACTTGTGACAGAACAACAGCTCTTTAATGCAGAGATGGCCTCTGTGGCACACAAGAATTTGGAAGAAAACAATTAGAAGTAACTCTCACTAATGTGACTTTTGTCCTGTGTTGTCTCAGCCCACGTAACAATATCTTCAACAAGCACAAGAGTTTCTGAGGGATACGAGTTCAATGTAACATGTGAAAGTGATGTGAGCAATTATGACAGCATCAGTTGGAAAATCCAGTCTGGAAGTTACACAAAAACAGTAGACTGTGTTATGTGCATCAAAAATTACATTTTCCCAGCCACATCTGTGCTCACAGTGAAGTCTGCCTCACAGGACTGGGGAGGTGAGTGAATACGGTCTCATGGGCTACAAAGGCAATGAAATCTCTGCAAAAGATAATTTACAGCATCCCTAGCCCTGCAAATCACTGTGCAGCCTGGCCACAGTAAATAAAAAGCCCCCACAGTTAAAATTATATGTGTTGGAGGACAGCAAGGCTTGATGTTGCCAACAGCACTGTACTTGTTTAGCATTCATGACCATGCAAAACTTCTTCTGTCAACTGAGACATGGTTTTGTATCACTTCTTTTAGGCACCTACATCTGCACATTCTCCCAGAAAAACCTGGACAGTTCTGCCAATGTGACCATCGAGGTGATTTCCTTGCCCCTGAAGCAGAACATCCTGATAGACCCCATTGTAACATCAATACAGTGCCAAGTGCCACGTGCCCTCCAGTGCTGCATACGTGCAGAGACCATGAAAAACTACAGCGTTACATTTTGGGTTCAACAAAATGAATTTCAAGTTGGTAAGACACAATGCACTTGCAGAATAATTAGTTTCACTCTGTGTCACAACCTAGTCTCTGGGTTTCTTGTTTTCAGTTAGATCTGTGTAAACAAGTCATACTTACTACTTTCATTACAACCCAGGAGCACTTCTAAGGGTGCAAAAAAAGGGAAATGGACTCTTTTTAGGATGGTGAGTGTGCCTGGGGAACATGGATGGGATTAATACTGAACTGAAGTCACTGCTATAGTGATAAATACGTAATATAATAGGTAAACTCAATGTTTGGTTTGACTTGCCAGGCAGGGAGAAGTGAACATCCTGACCCTTCTTCAGATTGGAAATCACTGAACTCCTTTTATTTGCTTGTATCTTCCATTCTGCCACTTTTTAAAATGAGTATTGAGAAAACGTTACTTAAGAAAATCTATTAATTAATGAAAAATGTTGAGTAATCCATTAAGAATGCAATTCAAAAAACTACTCAATTTTCTTCAAGGATACAGGGGACACATCTTTAACAATACAAAAGCCTATGCTTCTATGTCTTCAAATTTAGGGCAATTCTGCAATTTCCCTGACATGTTTTTATATGCTGTAAGTTTTCAGGTGAGTTCTTTTTTATATACTAGAATTTTTCAAGTGAGTTACAAAACAGTTAATTTGAAAAAAAAAACAAAGCAAATACTATCTACCAAAGATAACTCAGGAAACATACAGGAGTGCAAAAACAACAGGCTGAGGAGTAAAGCAGGTGGAGACTGAGGAGGCTTTCAGTAGCTAAGAAAAAGGCAAGGATGTTGTTGGAAGAGACTGCAGCTGGATTCTCACCTTCAGGCACAGGCATTCTGAAAAGCAGTTGGGAGTGTGTCACAGACCCTGAGTTCAAAAGAACCATAGAAGAACAGCGAAACAGTATCCCAGCCTAAATGAAACAAAGGTAAAGGCAGTGGTAAAGGCAGGACGATGTCACTGGTGGGTTGGGGGTCTCCATGAGACCCCCAGCTGCCCCAGCAGTCCTCAGCCACAGGAGACTTTTCCAAGCCTTGCCCGGATAGAATCTGGCTTGCAGCATGCCCCCAAGCCAGCAGAGTGAAGAGATCCGGGTATGAAGAGAGGCACAATTCCATAGTTTATTCTGTGAAGGTATCCAGTCTAGCATATTCAACGGCTGGGATTTCTAAAGGGTCCTTTATATGTTTTGGGGGTCTTACATTTTGCACCAATTACTAAGGGAGTTCTAAATGCTAACCAATCCACGAAGGACTTTAGATTCAAAACTAGCCTGTAGATACAAAAGGAAAATGAACCACTAATATTACAGGAAGATAACACAGGGCTCTACCAAGGGGGTTGAATGCCTTTTGGTATTTGTCACTAAGCAAGCAGTTTCTTATCTTTAAGGTATCGTCTTCCATGGGGTCTGTTCCAGGGGCACAGAGAGGTTTTCTGCTTTGGGAATGTTTTCTGCTCCCTCCACAGGACGAGTATTCTCAAAAATTATTTTCAAAGTAAATTTCAGTTACTGGACAATTAAGAGGGTTTGGGGAGGATTTGCTCACACAGCAGTAAATGAAAAGGAATTGATCATGCAGCAGCATGCAGATTTATTACAGAGGGAGTAAGACAGAGATCAGCATACAGAGTTTTTTCACAAAGCAAAGTTGTTTTTTTTTCTAGTACCCACAGAAAATAAAGTTTTGCCAATGCTTTCTGCTGGTTTTAGTTGACTTACCCCAAATCTGTGTTAACTTGTCTTCATCTATCCATACAGAGAAAAAGGAAAAAGACAATTTGATTTGCTACATGTACAATCACACGCAAAAAGAATGTAACGAAGATAAAGAGTTCATGGCATATTGCAAGTTTATCAACCACATCGGAGCGGGCGTTGACAGTGAACGTATAAGACTGCAGTTGATACCTGGTAAGGAAACAAGTTACTGTTTATAGCTGTATATAGGACATCCCAGTATCTTTGTTAAATCAGGTGCCACAAATTCATCACCAGTGACATCTAACAGGAACAGCTTTTTGTTATCCAAGAACTTTTGTCTCCTTTTCTGATGGGAAATTTTTATACACAGAGGAAAACATCGGTTTGAATGTCATTCAAAAAAATAAAATTACAAAATGCATTGTCTTTGCTGTACTTGAGTGGTCCCAGTATGTTCCAAAGCAGTGACAGTTTAGTCACTACTGCAGGCTGCACCACCAAGCTTCATCCCCTGCGTTGAAATGTGGTCATGCAGCTCCCAGCTTGCACCAACAATTTAACAAGGATCAGACTGTGGTGCCTCATCTGGCTCAGGAGGGCAGCCTGTGGGAGAGCATTTCCACTTTGAAGACAAGAAAGGCAACCTCTGTGAGGTGCTGCAGAGACCAGGGCAGCTTCCAGTCAGCTTTGGATATTTCAGCTCTTTTATTCTAAATTGGACAGGAAGAAGTATTGGACATTCCCCTGATGCAGAAATTTTCTTTTTTCCACAGCAGTGGTACCTACAGTTGAATCACTGTACCTGCCAGATTTTACTCTCTTAGGCAATAAATATGCAGACACTTTAATTACTTTAATCACTTTAATCAGCAGATACTTACTGATATGACTAAGCCAATCAAAGACAATTAGCAAAGCTCACTGTTCATCAAAAAGGTGTTGAGGCCTCACTATTCAATTAATGAATTTCCTGTTAGTGCTACAGCAGTATTGAGTACCTTAACAGAATAAAGTTTGGATGAATTATTGTTTGCTTAATGGTCAATATAATCCCACTCCAGCTCTGTCTAACCCTGTAATCTAACAGATAAATCTAAGTCTTTGAGTGTTGGTTTGTTGATTTGATTCAGTACTCAAAAATTAGAACTTTATTAGATTTCGTTTTTAATTTCCTGATTCATAAAAATTACGAATGTGAGACATATACATCCTGAAAGTTCATAATTAATGAAGACAGTAAGCTGAAATCCTAATTTCAAGATCTTTGAGCAGATCACAAGTTTTGCGAGGACAATTCATTCATCTACCTGTTTCTTATTTTCTATCTCTTCTCCTCTCTGTACAGAGAAGAAAATTTCCTGCTCAGACAGCTTGGGCATTGGAACAGAAGGAGCCACATTAATAAAGCCATGCTCTGATGTAAAAAATGCAAAAGGTTTTACTCGAGGCAATGTGACTTACAAGTGCAGCCACGGGTCATGGAAGGTTGTAAGGAATGACTGTCTGTCTGTGCCAGTAAATGACCTGCTGAGTAGTGCTGAGGTAACCCTCGTGGGTTGGTGGAGGTTGGGGTGGGGAGCTGGGTGGGGAGAAAGAGCAAATATGTTGGTTGCATGATTTTTCCTTATCACAATCTAAAATAAATGAAGCATTTAAAAGTTTCTTTTAAAAGATATGAAGAATGTTTGGCTCTACTTAGAGCAGCCAGCAAAAGAGCCCAGAGGCCTGAGGCACTGCAGGGATAATGTCCATAATGTCCATACACATGAACGCTCTGTCTACCAGGCAAGGTGACCTTGTCCATGGCATCCATAAGGAGCAGTTGCTGGCCTGGAGCGTTCCCTGAACTGTGCTCAGGCACAAGCCCAGAGCGAGTTACAGAGCACAGCAACAGTGTGGGAACAACAATAGGAACAACTCCAGGCCACTGCCCAGCCTCATCCCCTGGCCCTTCCTACAGCGCCCACACCCTTGGCCACTGCACTTGACAGATGGGTGCCAGGCCTTGATTTTCAGCCTTGGTATCATCTCACAGTGCTATTCCCACCCACAAACCATCCAGAATCACTTTTCTCTCAGTGAGGTTAGAGAATTTCATACATGTGATCTGCTGTTATCTTCTGTTCCAGTCCTTGGTCAACAGCCCCGAGGCAAAAGCACAACTACCCTCCTACCTTGCACACCTTAAGGAACAGACAAAAAAGGAGCTAACCACAATAAACAATTCCTCAGCAAACATAGGTGCAATTGTTACCATCCTGGATATGGTCTCCTCTATCCCAGCAGAGGCAGAGGAGCAAACTATGCAGGTAAGGTTTTATTTGAAGTCTTATCTACACCTACCAAGCCCTTTGACCCCTTTTGTCACAGGGGGTGATGTTCTCCCTGAAGAAGTTTCACAGTTGCTTAGGATCAAAATCAGTAAAGTGTTAAGGGAATGAGATGAAGTGACAGCAAAGATACAGAGGAGTTTATGAAAATTCAAAATGATAATAAGAAGTCTATGCATGAAAGAGAAGCAGCTGTAAGCTTAACAACTAGAAATATTCTAGGAAAAGATGGATATCTCCAGCATTCTAAGACAGGAAAGGACAAAGGATGATGGATAAAAAATTAGACATGGGCCAGCAACATGCTCTTGAAGCCCAGACACCCAAACATGTCCTGCTGCTTAACAAGGAGTGTGACCAGCAGGTCAAGGGAGGTGATTCTGTCCCTCTGTTCTGCTCTGGTGAGATCCCACCTCGAGCATTCCATCTGCTTCTGGATTCCCCAGGGCAAGAAGGAAGTGGACATGCTGGAGTGGGTCCACAGGAGGGTCACAGAAATGGTCAGGGATGGAGCAGGTCTCCTATGAGGACAGGCTGAGAGAGTTGGGGTTGTCCAACCTTGAGAAGAGAAGGCTCAGGGAAGAACTTAGTGCAGATTTTCAATACTTAAAGGGGATTTGTAAGAAGACTTTTTATCAGGGCCTGTAGTGACAGGACAAGGAAATATGGTTAAACTGAAAGATGGCAGGATTAGATTATGTATTAGGAATAAACTGTTTGCTGTGAGGGCAGTAAGGCACTGCAGTAGATTTACCAGAGAAGCTGTGGATGCACCAAACCCTGGAAATGTCCAAGATCAAGCTGGATGTCCCTGCCCCCTGGAAGGAGGTTGGACTGGATGACCTTTAAATGTCAAAATCATTCTATGATTCCATGAGTATAAGTAGGTGTAGAAAAAAAGGTTGAAATAGGAATAGAGAGAGTAAATTCCAGGAACCATGATCAAGCAAGGAAAATAAGTTGGATGTAACAACGAATGAATAACAAAAGAAACCTTAGAAATAATTGGGAACTTTGATTGTGAGGTCCAGAGGAAAATCACTGCTCTTCTGAACAGAAAAGTGCAAAAAGGCTTGATGACTTGTAGATAGAGAGCCCTACATGAAACACCAAGAAATCAAAGACAAGAAAGAAAGGAAAGAAGGCTGGAGATGTAAAAATACCAAATAATATATTAAAAAATAGTCACACAGCTCTGCTTTTGGAAACCTTAACTTGCAAACAGAGTATGCAGAGGGTTAACAACTGAAGACTTCATGGACTGAGCAAAATAAGAAAATGCTGGGCTTTTTCATAAGGCACTTTTAGGACCACACATAAATTACCATCAGAAACAAAAATTAATTGTGTGGGATTTCAATAACTATATTATTCTGTTGTTGTTCCAGAATTTCCTATCCACAGTGGACTTAATTGTTGATAATTCCACAACTAAAGTTTGGGAAGACATGAATAAAGAGAAGACACGACAAAGTTCTTTGTTACTGCAGTCAGTAGAAAATTTTTCCCAGAACCTCCAACCAGTTAATAACACCATTCCTTCTGTCTCTGCCAACACCATTCAGCTCCAAGGGATAGTCGTCAAGGAAAATAACAACACAGATTATAACAAGGAATTCAGCAGTTCAGAAAACCTCACAGTCAGCGTGCTCATTAGTGAAACTGAAATCCAGACTCTAACCCGAAATTCAACCATTGTCAGTGTGATGTACTCAAAACTTGGACATATTTTGCCACGGGATACGTCTGAATATGTGAACGGTTTATTGATAACAACAACTTTGAGCAGCAGCAGAAGCCAGAAGTTTGAAGTTAATATGACATTTGCAAAGAAAAACTCGTCTCTGAAGATGCCCAGGTGTGTTTTTTGGAACTTCACACTCAACAACCAAAGGGGGAACTGGGATAATCATGGCTGCACACCCACAGAGTCAGAAGATTACGTCATTTGCTCCTGCAATCACTTGACATCATTCTCCATCCTGATGTCACCTGATGGATCCCCCTCCGATCTAACCTTTGAAGATTATATTTCCTACATTGGCCTGGCCATTTCAATCGTGAGCTTGATGGTCTGCATCATAATTGAATCCTTGGTCTGGAAGTACGTGACAAACAACACAACCTCCTACATGCGCCACGTCTGTATTCTCAACATTGCTACATCCCTGCTGATTGCTGATGTTTGGTTCATTGTCACTGCCTCCATCACTGATCAAAAGCAGCAGATGAGCAGAGACATCTGTATCATGGCCGCTTTCTTCATCCATTTTTTCTACCTGTGTGTCTTGTTCTGGATGCTGAGCCTGGGTCTCATCCTTTTCTACAGACTGGTGTTCATCTTGCACAACACGAGTAAGACCACTCAGAAGGCAGTGGCATTCTGCGTGGGATACGTGTGCCCCTTTGTCATTGCAGTCACCACCATCGCTGTCACCCTGCCAAAAAAAAGTTACATCAGAAATGATGTCTGCTGGCTCAACTGGACGGACAGCAAAGCTCTCCTGGCTTTCATCATACCTGCCTTGATCATCGTGGCCACCAACTTGTTCATTGCCGCAGTTGTTATAATAAAAATATTGAGGCCAACTATTGGGGATAGGTCAAGTGGGCAGGAGAGGAAGTATCTGTTTCAGATTGGCAAAAGTGTGGCCATCCTGACACCACTGTTAGGCCTCACCTGGGGTTTCGGCCTTGCCACTGCCATCAAAAACAGTAATCGAGCTTTCCACATCCTCTTTAGTGTGCTCAATGCTTTTCAGGTGAGTTGCACATATTTTTGTTTCCTCTCTCATGATTTAACATAGAGACACTATTGCTGTGCTGTGCTTGGCAGAGCATAAGAACAGAAGGGAAAAGCTTAAATTTGCCTTACACATCCTTATTCCAAAAGGGCTCTTTGGCAAAGCCATTCCAGGAATTCAGCAGTATTTGATATTCTCAGCTTCCTTAGCAGAGGTGTTGTATAGATAAAGCTGACCTAAAGATAACTCCCTACTTTGCCAGTAGTTTTGGGATCAGCTTCACTCCTGAAGACCAGGAAAACAGCCCTGTTATGTTCAGGTGGGCAAACTTGAGCATTCCTGTTTCCATTTATAATGCAACTGGAGGCATCCTGTTATGCTTTTGTGAGATCCAGTAGAAACCACAAGAAAGTCACAAAGATCAGCTGAGAAGTACTAATGATAAAGAGAAGAACTGACAAAAATACACGATTGAGAGTTTTCAGTATGACTTTTGTGTTGTATTTAGGTGGCCAGTAGGATGCCAATACAAGGAGATTTCTTAAGGACAAAATAGTTATGTGTACTCTCTCTTTAAAGAGAATTCTTAAGATTTGCCATTGTTCAGAATGGCATCACAACTGTGTTCTTCACACCAAACTCACTGGATTTTTCTTGGAACCTACTAGTTTGCCTGGAGAGCATAGGTAGGACGTCTTCCATACACAAACATTCCTTCTTGCAAATACATTTAGTGCTACCAAACTATCTGTGTCAGTTTGTAGACCAGATCAACACAGAATTTAAATAGACTAGGCATGGGGAACTGCCAAATGAGCAGTCCACTATATGACATGCAGTTAGAGAGATTCCCTCTATCAAAGAGTTAAAAGTTTAAATAGTACCATGGACAATGCTGGAGACACTTATGAGATACTGCAATTAAAGATTGGTGTCATCAAAATGCATGTAATTATCTGTCTCCTAGGGATTATTCATTTTGGTGTCTGGGACTCTCTGGGATAAGAAGGTAAGGATTCCAACTATTTCTTACATTATGTCAAAATACTGTTGGAATCTGAGCAGAATTTCTGTATTTACTGATTGACTAATTTTTTTAACAAATAGATACAAGAAGCCCTGTTGAAGAGGAATTCATCATCCAAATGGAGTTCACAGCAATCAAAGGTTAGAACCTTGACCTAAGAATGTATTTCTTACTATTTCAGTTACTGCTGAGTAGTATAACATTGTTCAGTGCACTTTAAATTCTGGATTATTTATTAGACCAAGTCAGAGAGGACACTAACAACTTAAATATGATTATATCACCTTTTTCAAAGTTCATTATTTTCACTATAATTGGTAAAAAATGAGAAGGTGGTTAGTGGACATTTGCTCTAAATTCCACAAGAAAGAAACTAGAAAATGTAACTGAAACTTTTAGTTAGAAAACATATAACTTTTTTGGTACTATTATTTATTCACAATCTGAGAGAAATGCAATGGGGACTTCTTGGGGCATTATTGTTTCAACTTACACTTCTGCATTTATAACACCTTGCCAAAAAAAATGCCAGGATATGTAATAAACTTAGAGTGGTTTGGCTTGAAAGGGACCTTCAAGATCATCTAATTCCAACACCCACCTGCCCCTCTTCTTGAGCTGCCAATGGTGCTGGCATCATCCTTACATGACAATAAAGCTTGATTTTATATTGGTATCTGAACAGGGTTCATTCAGAAGAGCGTGTACAGGTATTGCTAAAGAACTAGGAAGTCGACTTAAAAGCAAGGATAATTGAGAAGATGAGAGCACAGGCTCAAAGGAATTAAGGAGTCCATTAAGGTTGAACAGTCAGTTCAGAAGAGCAGCATTGGATCAAATCACTCCAGTTCCCACAGGAATTTCTGAAATTGGAAAGTCCCCTCAGAGATCTTCTTGCACCACATTCCCATCAGAGCATGGTCAGCTAGAGCTCAGACCTGTGTCCAGTTGGGTTTGAGTAGCTCCAAGGAAGGAGACATCACAATCTCTATGTGCACCCTTTTCCTGTGTTTGACCACCCTCACAGTGAAAAAGTTTCATCTTAAGTGGGATTTCCTATATTTCTATTTGTTCTCAAAGCCTCTTGTGCTTCCACTGGTCACCAAGGAGAAAAGTCTGGCTCTGTCTTTACCCTGTCCTAGTCAGACAGCCTCGAGTATGTCCTAGCATTGCATTTATTCCTCCTCAGGGACAGGAGGACTTTGCACTTTCCTTTTTTGAACTTCATAAGATTCCTGTCATTCCATTTCTCCAGCCTGTTGAGGTCTGAGAATGAGAAAATAAAGCAATATTAAAGTCGTTGATTAAGCTTTTTATATGTGATTCATTTATCTTCTATCTCCACCACTTTGTGATATAGGTGACAATACACAACACTGCCTAATTTCCCTCACCAAAGTACAACTAACTGATGACGAAGGACTGAAAAGAAAAATATGTGTTTTTCATACCTTTTAAAAATACATCTTTGGAGGAATCCCATTAAATTCTCAAACAATTCCATAATCAAAAAAGAAACTTCATTTTAGCAGCAAAAAGTTCCCTCCTTCCTTGGCATCTGGACTGCAGAGTTGTGTTCCAATGCCCTCTAGCGTGTCAAGTTAAATTTGCCTCGGATTATCTCAGGCGGTTGGCTGTCAAGAGCAATCCCCATTCACATAAATCTTAATGGCCATATTGGCACAAAAAAGAGAACAGGATCTCATACTGCCTGTTAGGACGGACTCTGGAGCCTAAGCCATCCCCCCGGCCAAGAGTTAGAGACAAGCACTTTGTGCCCTGTAGTTTCTTTTAGAGTTGATCTCCTTCATCACCACCATAAACATGCAAATGTATGAACTTGATACCTCACAAACATCTAGCTTTGCCTTCTGTGGATTGTTTGCTCATACTACTGAAACAAAGTTTATTGGAACCCTTTTTTCATTATTATTTTCTCCCTAAAATGGGGCTACAGAAAAAGTTCTTTTGACAAAAAGCAATTTTCTCTCTTTCAGTCATCCTCCCTGATCCTGGTGACACCAATGCTTGCTATGAGCTACCCATTTTCAAGGACCTTTAACAACTTATGTGGGAAAACAGGTATGTGACCACAGATCCCCTTACTGAAGCACAGACAAGGGTTGGCCTTTATTCTTGCTCTCAGGTTCTGTCTATGCTGATATCCTTCAAACTATTTGTCTCTCCATGCATCATCCATAGATAGTTTTCAATCTTATAATGCAAAGGAACTGCAACAAGTCAATTGTAGCATATGCTAGCAGCAACATTTTCTATCTCTAAAACAATTATTGGATGTTTCATGAATTCTAAACCCCACTAAGTGAGCTTTGTTTTGAGTTTAATGAGATCACGGCACAGTTCATCCATTATTCATATACTCTACACTACCTTGGAATGCATTTCTTCAAAGGTTCTCTGGCTGTCATTTTGTGGACATCACCATTTCAGTTATGACTTTATCTTGCAAAAAGCATTTCTGGAAATAACATTTAATTTCTAAGTGTCCAGCCTTTGTAACCACACATTGTTCAGAGATGACAGTGAACTTGGATCTTAGTTTAGAGCCTTGTAAGACAGAGGGAGCTGGGATTCAGTCAGGAGCCTGTGGATGTGTTGTGTTCTGGATGTGTCCCCATGCTCCAGGAGAAGCACTAAGTGCCTCCATTTGTGTGAGAAAATCATTGCCCTGTGGCACGGATGGCAATTGAAGCTGACACATCCTGGCAGTGCCACCAAGCACCTTGAGCTCTGTGGTTGCTGCTCTTGCTGTAACCCAGGGAGTGCCAGGGCTGCAGGGCAAGGCAGAGCCACCTTGGCCACCAGCACAGATGTCACCGTCCTTACTTTGCAGTGACAACGTCCCAGGCTCTCTGTCCTTGTCTAACCCCTGTGCTTTGTTTTGCAGGCAAATACAAAGTATCTTCTTCAGAGCCATCCACCTCTTCCACTGAAAATACTTCCAAGGCATATTCTTTGCTTAACTGAAGCACTGCCAATGCTAAATCATGTAACTCTGAAAGGACCTCTGAAAGTACCTGGCAGTCACCAGGAAGTGGACTGCTTCATTTTGACCAAACTGTGCCTTCATGAACTCTTCTGGAATAATCATTTCTGGTTAATGTGTAAGGCAGGGAAGCTGAGAGAGGTGGAATTTTACAAGGTCTGCCAATCCCAGAAGAGGTAACAAGGATTTGAATGCCTTCACGTGCAAGAATGGACATTGGCAGTGAAGAATTCTCAGCCCTTAAATGGCTGCTTAGCACTGTGCAGTACTGAGACATGAATTGCAGTGCTTCACACAGTTGTTGTCCAGTGGATTTGGTATTTCCAGCCAACTATCAACTGTGGGAATGATCCCAAAGGCCTGTGTAGATACACAAGTACCTCACAGCTTCTCTTCTGCCCTTGTATTAGAGTCTGGAAAGGCCATAGTGGTTTCCACTTTCAATTTAAGACTTTCTGGAACCAAAAATTCCCAGCTGAGAAGGCCCATTCCAGATCTTCACTTTTGACTTACATAAAATGAAGACCGTGATGATTCCTGCGTGGTCTTCTTTCAGATGGAAAGACTGAAAGCTCCATGTGGCACTTTTTTGAAGAAAAGGAAGCTTTATGCCCTAAAAAATATTTTTTTCCCTTGATATGTAATGTGGTAAGACAGAGATGATTGCTGCCCTCTGCCACAGAGGGGACTGCATTTATTTAATGCATAATAGTGTTAAGAATGCAAGGAGTGCCTTGTGTAAAGTCTGTATGTTTGGGTCTTCTCTCAGAGGAGAAACACACTTGAAGGACACAGAGAATAAGCTCTGTAGTGAATATAAATCACCACGTGCCAAGCAGGATGAATGGTTTTATATAAATTATTGCTCTGATACTGCATTTGTGGAAGCATTTATTTCAAGCCTGTACACCTTTTAAGGCAGGACTCCTGTCTTGAGAAGAACCTGAAAAGTATTTATAATACACACAAATGTTACAAAATTTATGTACAATAGGTTGAATCATGAAGATTTAGATTTGAGGGCAACACCAGGTGGTACAGTTCCATTTGACTGTCAGGGAGTCAGGCCTGTGTTTGCCAATGGTGAACCTGTTCCTGGAACTTTGGGGTGAATCAGGATGGGAAACTGTTCTCAGTAGTTAGAAGCACTTATGATGGTTTGGTATGAGCAAGGTGGTATGGGCAAGAGTTTATGAATTCTGTCTAACAGCTAATTAGTGTAAGTAAGCCAGCACAACCCCAGGGAAAGTGAGTAATGATGTACTGACATAAGTATCTGTACCCTTTAGAATTCTTGAGCAATTTTTGTAGGAACATTTCCAGAATCTTAATACATGTGTTTTTGAGGTGATTTTAACAGTGTTTTGAGAGGTTCAACCAGTTATTTAATCTAAGTTTGAACCATGGCTGAGGATAAATGCATAGGCTCTCAGTACTGCTGCTTGCTATGGGATGAAGAAACCAAACTTTCAAAAAACATGTAAGAAAGGCAATGTATGAATTTTCAACAGCTCTACATGACACACTTTAACTGCCACATCCCTCAGAAAAAAACCAGATTGCTGCCAAGCTGTTGGCAGAGCTGTTCATCCATATGATGACTGCTTTTCTCCAAGTTATATACATAATTTTTCACTGAAAATGCGTATCTTATGAACCAGGTTGAAATTTGTCCCCCATGCAGTTTTTTATTTTCTAGCCATCATGGAAATGAGGACGATAGTTAAGACAATGGTTCCAGCAATTCCACCAATCGACATTCCCAGGATGCTCCCGTGGACCTGCCTTGACTGACACCTCTCACCAGTGAAGAAGAAGGCTTGTCCTGATGAGCACCTGGGAAAACAAAGCACAGATTTACTGGATCAGGAGCCTTGTCATGCCCTCACCCCAAGGTCCTCACAGTCATTATTCCAAATGAGCAGTTCCCATTGGAGGGGTTCATGTCTCAACATTCCCACCTTGTTAGGAGGCTCTTTAACACCCTGGAAGCACCACAGAATGCCCTCCTGGCTGCTGGTAGGAACTAGTAACTGTGATAAAGTATTTTGTTTCTACTATTCCTTGAAAATCTGGTGGCTTAGACCTCTGAGGTCTGTAGCTCTGAATACTTCTTAACTGCATCACTTGAAGAAGAAAGCCAGGGCAAGGAGGGAGGAGGTCTGTTGTACCTGCAGCTTGCTTTTCCTTTCACATTCACACAGACTCCATCATTCTGACAAGGGTTTGGGTCACATGGGTCTGGCAGATAAGGCAGCCGGTCCTGAATGGGCTCCATGTCCTGGGCTGCTCTCTTCTGCCTTTCCAGAACGAGGCCTTCCATGCGAGCAGATTGCACAGGTTCAACAGGAACTTCAGTGTTATTGAGGTGAATTATATCTTTTAAAAAAGGACAAGGACATCAGAATCAGTGAATATTGCTATCTGTAGCATGCTTCACATCAGGGACTCACAGGGTGCTCCTTGTCCATTTTCCCTTTACAGAGCTCTTGCTGTACCACAAGTTCTGTGTATTTAAAGCACAAGATAGAATATAATAGTAAAATTACAGAAACTAGTTAGGTAAATCTGTGATGTTCTGTGAGGCTGTTCTATTTGGAAATAAACACAGTGGGGATGGCCTTTAGTATGTTTGGTGCTTAGAAATGGACATAGCTACTGCTCAGGGTGCTTAAAGGTGTCTAAGAAGTTCGCATCTCAATACTCACTGCCATTTAGATCGCTCAACTCACAATCACTTTTAGTCAACCTCACCTACCTGACAGTAGGTCACAGAAATGCTTTTTAAAGTTGATCCCCATTAGAAGAGATCTTGGAGACAGGTGTCAAGAGATATTTGAATGCATGAAAATAGAAAGAATCTCCTATTTTGAAAGGAGAATCAGAAAAGGGATCCTTACCATTAAATTCTGCAAAAATAATCAGGTCATCATTTTTCAGGAAGCTTCTCCGTCTCAGCTGGCTGTGGGATATGAAGTTACTCCACCCCCAGGCTACACTTCTGTTGCAATTGCATGACTCATCAAATCTTCCAGCAATTGATGGTTTATCCCATATTATAGTTGCATTATCTGCAAAGAGAAAATGAGAATCACAAAATTGTGCAGCTCAAAGTACGACATTACTTTTTCCTGCATTAGTGTGTTAAAGGGGATTTATGCTGTAAAATCAAGTTCAGGCCTGAAATTCCCAAACAAATCTCAGAGCACTGACAAAATAAAGGTGCCAGGTGATCTTCAGGTTAGGTCTGCATGAGGATTCTTAGTCTATGTGAGGCCATTGAAATTCCACAACTCCTCTTTCACTGAGAACTAAACACAAATTGCTTCCTCACTGTTACCAGCTATGAGTTCCCTCCTGAGTAAGGACACTCCCCGACCAGTTTGTAAGTACCTGTGATTTAGAATTTAGTTGATTTTTGGTCATTACTATGATTTTGTTAAACATATTCATATTTAAAAGCTCCTACTGTAAAAATATGTACTTAACTTCCACTAGAAAAAGTAGAAAGGGATGAAGATTCATGTGTAGTATTTTATTCAGTACCAAACTCTGTCTTGTCCTATTATTCTTATTTCTATCTTAGAATCACAGAAAAGTTTGGACAGGAATGGACCTAAAAGATCATCTTGTTCCAACCCCCTGCCATGAGCAGGGACACCTTCCACTAGACCAGGTTGCTCCAAGCCCTGTCTAACCTGGCCTTCAATCCTTCCAGGGATGGGGCAGCCACAGCCTTTCTGGGCAGCCTGTGCCCCACCATCCTCACAGTAAAGAATTTCTTCCTAATATCCAATCTAAACCTGCTGTCTTTCAGTTTGAAGATAATTCCATTTTATCCATGCTTTTGTAAATAGTCTCTCTCAATTTTTTCTTGCAGGTTCCCTTCAGGTACTGGAAGGCAACAATTATGTCCCCCCGATTGTTCAGCCTTCTCTTCTGCAGGCTGAACATTTTGAATGAACACATCCGTGAGAAAGGGTGAATGTTGTGCATTCAGACCATGTAGGCTGAGGTTCACTGAGTATGTTGAAGTTGACTGAACCTCCAAAATGCAGTTTCAACTTAAATTATTGTTTAGTGACAGAATACTGCACCCTGCTGGCATTCCATCAACCTGTGGTGATATGTCACCTATCACAGTGGACAAGCCACAGGTAGAAAGGGAATTGCCAGCTCTTGGGAAATATCTATATTTAGAGTCAGGCTCAGATATCCCAAGGGTTGATCATAATAACATCAACCTTATATGTGTCACTTTTCATGTTATATAATCTTCCACAGGCAGGAATTCTGAGTCACACACAGTGAAGATATACATAGGAAAGTGTCCCAAGTTGGAAAATACAGCCAAAGTTTCTCAGCTCTCAGTCCTACACTCAGTCCTCTTACTCAGATTCCTTGGCTGTCATTGTCAGCATTCCTCCAGGCAGACACTGCTTACCTGTGACATGGTCCTTGCTTGTGGTGAAGCTTTTGCTCGAGGACATCCTTTTCAGCACGTCGGGGTCCTGGTCCAGCACTGTGAGTGTGGCCTGGCGGTTCAGAGCCGGCCACTCCAGGACTGCATCGTTCTCTCCACTGCACAGGTGGAAGGCAACACGAGCATAGCCACTGTTTCGGTAGTTGGGCAATACGCTGATGCCAAACCCATAACCCTCAGGGCTGTAAAACCGAGGGCTTTCAATAAGGCTGATGGATGAGTTCTCAAGGATTTTGCTGAAGTTGCGAATGACCCACACAGCTGTGGGACAGGGCATCTCTGTCAGAGTCACATCATCAATAGCAATCCCACCCAAGGAGGAGCTGGGGTTGCCCTTCAGTCCTTGGAAGAGGTAACGGAACTTCTTCTGAGCATTGAGGGTTACGTGGGCAATTTTCCAGTTGGAGTCACTGTCCGCTTTGGTAAAAGGGAAGAATAACATTACCATCAGTGTGATTAGAGATTTATAAAGCAATTTACCCCTAGCCATCCATCCCAGCTGCACCTTTATACAACTGCATCCCTCACAGATTCCTGAAGGCCAGAGATCTTAAGTTCACATGGTTACTATAATATATTCACATTGTTTTGTCATCTAAATGCTTTGGACATGTTGCACAAGGAATTCTTCACATGTTAGGGAATGACAGCCTCCAGTGTAAAGGGCAACAGCCTAAGGGCTAAGATTAAACAGGAGGACAGGAATCAATGACCCAGTGTGCTCCTGACACCTTTTCATGGATTCATCCTTCACTGCAGACTGCTGCAGCCTGATGTTGACAAGTTATGACAGGTCTTGTGTTTTGACAACTCAAATCACATGGAGCCTCAGTGGCTGAATTTATCCTATTTAGCAAATCACCCAAAGTAGGAATCCAGTTGACGTTTCCAAAACTGCATATGCTTTTATATTTCCAACTGTCTAAAAATCAGTCTGGGGTTCTTATTGACTGCAGAGGAGCACAGGTATTTTAAACCTGAACAGCCCACTCTTAGATCGTATAGCAGCCAGTGGAGACACAGTCAATTCATCTCCAGCATGACTTGGGGTCCCTCTCAATTACTGAGTGTAACATAATATTAGGAATGTTGTGACTTCTGCTGTGAAGCACCAAAATTACATTATTACAACCCACAGTTTCTCTGCTAAATGTGCCTATGTAATACCAAAATTCTTATAGCTGTATTGCAAGATATTCTGGTAACTTCAGAAAAATCTTTTTGTTTCCGAGCCAGTCTTCTCAATTCATGGGCACAGTAAAGCAACTTCTCCTCTCTACCCAAATATTCATCTTATTTCCAGAATTACCTTGAAAGGTTTGAATTTTCCTCATCTTGCGAATGTTCCCAGTGCCATCATCCTCTTTAAGCCAGATGATCAGCTTGTCAGAAGGGCTTCCAGTGGTCCTGTAGAAGAACTGGAGGCACTGCTGAGTTCTCTTTGGATAAAGGATTCGGGACTCCAGGATTGCCACCTCACCTGCCTGCCCAGAGTTGGTGTTGAAGTGCATGAAGTAGCCAGCATCTGGGAAGAAAGGGTAGTCTGTCACTGCCTGTTTACACATTTCCTGCAAAGCTGCATGGAGTAAATTCATCATTTCATCTGCACTCTTTTAGCAAACAGAAGAGTAGCACTTAACATGAACAATAAAGGAAATGACATGTGACAACCATCCAAGACAGACTAGGATAAGAACAGGAATAGCAGTTCAGCATATATAGAACTCCCTGTTGTCAGCTCATGTCAGTTTTGCATTAGTTGGTCTAATTGGAATTTGTATTCCTCAGGAATGTCAGAGATATATGAGGCAGAGAATTCAGTGTTGACCACAGCAATTAGTAGATACATTTTTTTACTTGATTTATACTGATGATAATCTAAAAATGAGGCCTTAGAGGTCATGTGCTATATTACCTTGTAAAGAATAAGATAATTTCTTATCAGCAATAAAGATAATAAACATGGGTTGGACACAAAACACTGTCCTGACCTTGAACATGCAGATGGTCTTTTTTTACAGCTTGCCCAAACACTTCAAAACTCAATGACTCACCATAAGAAAATTACTTAATTTCCCTCTCCTCTATTTCTCATTATCATTTTTGAAGTGTTCTTTACTTTAGTTTTGAAGTATCTATTTTTATCCTCATGTTTACAAGGACTTGCCATTTGTGCACCTATCATATCTTGGTATCACACAAAGTTGTCATGTCTTATCTGTATTGTCTGGCTTTTCAGTTACCCAATTTAGTCAATGATTAAATTAATAAGTTAATTTTTTTAGCTGCTGTATGAAAGTTCCAAGGACTCTTGCCCAAGATAACATATCTTAGAATCACAGAATGGTTTGGGTTGAAAAGAACCTTAAAGATCATCTTGTTCCAACAGTTATACCTGCAGCTGCATAAAGGCAGTGCAGCTTCCTGCAGGGTTAATGAAGTCTTGAGCTGTTCATCAGGTTCTCTCTAATCAGTCAGGGGAATTATCTTCATTCCCTTCCACATGGTAGCAATACTTGAACTCATATCCACAGAAAGCTTGCCAGAGGCTGCTGTATGCAATGTATGACATTTGACCATCAGTTAAACTTATTTGAGTTTTAAGTGTATTAAATCCAAGTATGATCACTCTTGCTCCGAGTGAGAAGCCGGGCTGTGAGCCTGTTGTTGCAATTTTTATAGTAACAAACCCCCAAATTATCTAGACTCTACCTCTTTTTTGATAAGAAATAAAGGCAACATTAAGTACCTATGGCAATTAGAATATGGCCTTGGCAGACTTCAGCAGACTCCCTAAATATTAAGCTGTGCTTTCTCTCTTTCAGTTTAGCTGGCAATAAGTCAAAAACACAGAATATCAAAACTGTCTGAGGAAAACAGGATCCATCTATGATAGAAACTCAGAATTTGCCTCCACTTGAAATGACTGCAGAACCAGTTCTCAAAAAATGTCAGAAATTTCTGATAGAGTCAATTACCCTTTGGAGGTGCCAAAAGGAGAGACACTTCCTATTCATGCAATTCATTTCAGAATTGCACTCTGGAGATACTCAAGAGGCACCCACCCTCTCCATTAAATCTTCAAAAAACATTGATACTTATTTTGTACTGAGTCACTGGATGTTAAAACCTAAGTGCACATTAAGTGCCCAGTTCAGGCAGATTGGATTTTATGTGATGAACTCAAAAGCTCAGATAAATTATCTTTGCCAGTTACAATAGTACTGTACACAGTGAGAAAGAGGAGAGAAAGAATTAAGAATCAATTGAGGGTTAGAAACATGTATTTCTAGAATTTCAGGTGGTTTTCTTGAGTTAGATTCTTGGGCCTGATCAATAACTACCAGCATTATAAAAGGTTGGACATCTGTCCTTTCCAGCGGTCACTTGAGGGGAATAAACTACTCCTGAGTGCAGCAAGTAGAAGGGTAACAAAGCACAGGTGAATGTGCTTTAAGTCAGAAGTCCTTCCCCCTCTACTGAGGTAAAATTTACCACAGAAGTCACTTTTATCTTCGAACTGTGTGGTAGTTTACCCTGTTTAAACATTGACAAATTAGGCTCTTGCTTTTAAGAACTGCCTGTTGGGATTTAATCTTTATTCTCAGCTGTAAACTAGCACTCTGTGACTGTGACTGGGGCTCACTGCTCTATTTTTGAGAATGTCTTCCTTTGAAAAATGGTGAAATTACCATGTCAAAATAAAAATTATCCCTGAACTCCTATCATAAAATCTTTGCAACTTTCTTCTACTTCCAGAACTAGAATTCCACAAGCTTAACTTCCCACTTGCATTGCAAACACAACATTTATGAGGGGCTACAAGTGCTGTTTGATTCTTATTATGAGGTAATATAACTCTTACACAGACTTTTGAAGTTGCAGTAAATAATTTTCCAGGTTATATTTAAAAGACTTCTAGTTAAGATTGTTTTTTGTCTCCTTTGATCTTGCTAGTGTGGACAACATTCCACTAAATTGAAAAAGTTCAGTGAGAGAGGAAATGCAAATATTGTCTAGAGTCTTCAACAAATTCTCTGAACTAATCATTGTAGTCAATCCTGGAGAAAACCCAGCTCAGAAAGTGTTTTGTTCCTTTATTTTACCTCTACACTGCCCAGAAAATGTGTGGTCCTCCTGCCCCGTCATGCTGCCCTGTTGGTGGACCCAGTCTTGGTCATGGTTGGTGCCCTGGATCATACCACAGATGTTTTCAAGCTCAAAAGAACACTGGTCCAAAAAGGTGTGAGTTGAAGCTGGAAAAAAATACACACATGGTCACCTCAGAGTGAGCTACTAGCTCATTAAAAATTCTTCTCTAATTTGCTGGGGTTTTTTTACAGTAGCATAAACATCCTGTAGAGAAGACAACCCTTACATTACCAGATGTGAGCCAAATGACTCAAAAGAGAAAACATTTGATTCCTGAAGGGATTCCCCTGGATAAAAACAACAATCTTTGACCTCTTTGCAGAAGGTTAATTAGCCCCATGTGGCAGTGACAGAGGGTGACTGTCTTTGTGCCTCTTTGCCTTGGTGTATTTAACCATTCCTCGGCTGAGGTTTTTGTTCTTCATGGCAGTTCTCTCATGGAGCTCTGTCCTTCCACTCCAAGCAAAGTCCACCCAGTTACCTTGGGCTGGTTCAGCTGCCTGCAAGGTGATGCTTCTGCTGGCAGCACCGAGGGGACAATAACTTCTTGGTAACAACCATGATCAGTGATAACATCTTCAACCAGCTCAGCAAAAATCTAGAGAGTGTGGGACTCTAGACCTAGCCAATCTCAGGTCCAAAAATATTCTGATTCAGTCCAAATGTCAGAAAAAGAGGACAAAGTGCAGTTGCATTCACCTCAGAAATGCAGAACAAGTCTGCCCACACACCACAGGCAGAAAACTCAACCACAGGTCTGAACTCCTGGGAGCAGCATGGAAGAAAAAGTGTGAATGGTTTGATTTCTTGATTAATTTTTACAAAAATAATGACAGTGCGAAGAGCCGAGAAGGGGATAAACTGATTATGTTTATGTGCACACCACAGGTCCTGTCCCATACCTCTTCAAGCACATTTGAGAAGAGTTCTTGTGAGTTTAGAGACATAAGGGATGTGAACAAGCCTGGCTCAAGTATAACCAAAGAAACTGTTTGCCATGGTTAAATTCTGACTTACTGCAGTTGTACATGCGATTTAGTCTTTCCAGGTCAATGGCACTGAGGTCTAGACGTTGTCCAATTATGTCATCAAACGCTGGTATCTTTGCTGTGATTGTGGGGACACTTGCATTTTTGTTAAATGAAAATGGTTCATAGTGCATCAATGATTCGTAGTCATAGGGGGTGTTCAGATCAGTGATATAGGTGTCATCATACTTTGCAAAATTGTGTTCTCTGCCTGGTGAAAGAACAGAAAAGTACTTCCTCTTTAGGGAAAATGGAAAGGAAATGGCATCAGTATGTCATCTTGGATACAGTTTTCTAAGGCACATATTATATACCCAAAAGCAATTACTTCACAACAAAATACTAAAACTTAGCAAGATCTGTGTTTATCATTTGGACAACAAGGCCTTTGGATTTGCAGTTCTGTGCTCTCACAGGTGACTTCAGTAAATTCAAAAATGAATATCAATGAGCTGTAGAGAAAGAGATACATAGGAGGTTAGATTAGAATTGATAGGAATGGTTTAATAGTAATGATCCTGAAGGATTAAGTGTAAGGATTCATTTAGTCAATTTCAGAATCTGTGAATATTAATGCAAACATTTCCCAGTGTATTAGATCACATATGGAGAGAGGCCCTGAAACTCATAAAGGAGACAAATATGACAGCCCTGAAGTGTCTTCAGGTTCTGTTCTTCTTTGAAATAAATAATGCCCTAGCAATCATTGGGGAAAAAAGAAAGATATCTGCCGTAGACTTACAGTACTGATATGATATTTCTATTAGAATGGCTTTTGGAAACATGTTTCTCATGGTTTCTTGGTGAAGTAAGTTGCCCTTAGTGAAAGTGAAAAACTTTCATTATGAAGGTGTCTGCTAAGGCAAAGAGAGGGATCCATTTCACATGCTTTGATAAAGAAGTAAAAAGAGCTTGCCAGCATTTTATGACTGCAAATAATGTTTTCTGGAATTCTTTTTCAAAGACAAAGCAGCACATGAGTGTGCTAGTGGGTAATTACACTTTCTCTGCTTAACAAGTGCCCTTCCCTTCTCCAAATCACAAAGGTCTTCAGTTCAAGGCTTGAGATGATTTAAGAGCTTGGAATAGTTTTCTTACAGAGACTTGAATTGCACTTTTTATAAAAAAAAACACCCAATGAAACCTCTTCTAGTCACTCCTTTACAAATAAATAATTGTTATGTAATACAGAATTGGATCTCACAGCAGACAACAGGAAAGACTGCCTAGGTATCAGGGAGACTGTGAAGAGTTTGCTGAAACTCATAAAGCTCCTGAGTGTGGTGATACTAAACCCAAAGGCAAGTACCTGCAAAGATACACTTGGATAGGAGAGAGCAGGACAGAGCCCTATTTCATATTTCCCACCCAATCTAATAATTTTAAGGATTTTTTCATGTGCAAAGTGAATATTTTCAGTTTCAGAAAAGCCTGAATCTCTGAATATAAAAACCTTTGAAAGGATTTTGAAAGGATCTTTGCCTACAGAAGAGCTACCTCAAAATTCATCATCTAAATAAGTTTACAATTTGCATTACTCGGTAAAAGGAAACAGATTCAGAGGGGAGAAGTAATTTGTTTAAAATAAGAGAGCAGAGTAGTCCAAGAGCAAGGGGAAATAAAAGTCCTGGTTTCCAAGCAGAGCCTCTCTCTTCTGGCCTTGTCCGGGTTTGACCAGAGAAGCTGCACCAAAATTTCTTAATTTACAGTGATCTCAGGTATGGCCGACTGTTTCTAAAATTCTGTCTTTAGGAAGGTCTTTAAAGGTAGAAGTGAAAATGGGATATTGATAAATCTACACTTTGCAAAACCTAACTTGAACATTTAAACCCACCTTCAAGAATTTCATCCCACCAGATATTCACATAGTCATCCCGGTCCGTCCTCGACTGCTCATGGTAAAATCCTAAAGCATGCAGGATCTCATGTTCCACAATTGCTCTGTAGTCACACCCTGACCCAATTGAGAGGTTCTGTCCAGTCTGCAGGTCCCCCACCATGGACCAACACCTGAGAAAGAGGGAGAGCTTACTCTCTGTTCAGTAGTTTTCTTCTCTGTACTTAACTTTTCAATTTGCTCATTGGATTTACAGTAAGATTTTCATATGAGTCACATAAATCATTATTTAGATGCTGACCACGTGTCTTGATATCCTAAAAATACTCTAGCCTGAAAGCAGACTAATCCCTAGAAACTATCACTTCATTACTTATCCTCTGTGTCAGAGAAGCTCACCCTGCATTTTTGAAAGCCACAGAACTTTCGTCCAGCATCAGCTCCCATTTGGCCAAGAAACAAAAAGCATACTACATACACGGAAACAGTAAATTCATCAAAAAGGCTGAGCATTTTTGCAATAACTTGGGCTAGAGAAAATACCCAGGAGTATTTAGAACAGCAACATTTGGTCCTTTTAAACAGCAATCATGTTTTGCAATGGCCTGAGGTGTGAAAGTACATTTCCAGTATTAAGATCTTCAGCACTGACTTGTCAAAAATCATGGTGATTGTAAACTTTTAAGAAAATGTTGTGGGAAACTCAAGGAAGAGCTGAAGGCAAAAACATGAACTTCTGGGAAAACAAGAAATATTCACAGCTGATATAGTGAGAAGGTTTTTGTGCTTTTCTACATTTTCTTTCAAAACATACTTAACTGTAGGAAATAAATCCCTTCTGTACTTGAAAACTTGAATCTCTGTGCATAAAACCCTTTCAGATTTTGAGAAACCATTCATTAAAGAAGAGTCATGTCAAAACAATAGAAATATTAAATAGAGTGTCTTTCCACCGCCTTTTTTTTTGGTCTGTTTTCCAAAAATTTCCAGACTTAAATTCTAGCTATTCACATTCACATTCTTGGTAAGTTAAAAGAATGTATATAGGGGTCTTCATCAAAATGGAAAACAAGCCTAGATGGAAAAGTGGAAGTAGTTGATGAAAACTCAGAGATGCTGGGATTCACCTTCAGAGCTCATCCTCTAAATAAGTCAGCAGAGGGAGCAGCTGCTTGCAAGCTCTTTGTCTAAGAATGTAAGATGTGTTGTTTTCCTGGTGGCCTTTATTTCTCTGCTGACAGCAAACCTTTAGATTGCTGAAGTCAAATAGAATGAGTTCCCAGCTGATTCTACACAGCAAAACTGAACAGAAATTGATATTACCCTTACCCGCTTTGTTTGCTAAAGAAAATGTAGGTTCTTTCTCCTTCATATGGCTTGAAATCAATGCAGGACTTCAGGCGGAACATTTCAAATGCCTGGAGAATGACTCCTTTGGCATTCAGGTCTGGAAAACAAGGACAGAACCTTCAATACATTGCACTTTGGTCACCTTGGAGAGGTAAGATATGTACAGATACACATGTGGAACCAAAGGAAAAATGACTGAAAAGAGAAATTACTCAATTTGATTAAATTGTGGTTTGCTATGTTAGCTGTAGAAAAAAAAAAATTTTATATAAACAAGACTATGATAGTAGTCTTGTAGTAGTAGTAGTAGTTATTAGTGAAGTTTAACATTTTTAATTTGAAATAGTTCTGAAAAAAGCAATTTTTAAATCACAGTGACTGCAGTGCAAATAAGGATTGGAGTTAAAATCTGAATAAAGTGTCTGCATTACCTAGGTCATCACCCAGAATATAAGGAACGGGGAACTTCCACCTGTAGGTCTCATTTCTTAAGGCATTTCGCTGATTTTTCTGAAAAGGGAATTAACAGCTGGTGATGCATCTACTGTAGGGAGATGAACTGATTTGTAGCAAAAATACAATTAGGACAAGCAACAAAAAGCTTTTAATTACTTACAGGGAGCAAGATATCACCCTGAAAGAGGTCCAGTCCAGCAGCTGAAATGCAATTTAATCAAAGATAGTGTAAATGAATTTCAAATGTATTTCCTTTCATAAACCACATTGAACCTGCATACACAAAGTTCATGTCCTTGGGTATCTACAGAAAATAAATAAGGACCAGCCTCTATACACTGAGATATAGGCAATAATAAAAGTAACAGCAGTTTCTAGTTTCTCCTCAATATTTACTTCTTGGAGATGTCTGCCTTTGTGGTGGCACCATTATCCATGGTCACCTTTGATGAGCTCTGCTTGCTCTCAGGCAGTGACAATGGGACAGTGATCAGTAAACATCTAAGTTGTTTTCCATGTTCACAAAACTTTATAAAAATAGAGATGGGCAGAAAATTTAGTTGGGACTTCAGAGTCCTTCCGAATCATACAGTGTTTTCCTGCCTTAGCACCATGGGTTTGTCCAAACTTCAGAAACAAAAGACATCTGCATCCCTTGTTTACACAGAGTTACAGTCCTGGAAATATTCAGGTGTCACAGAGAGAGGATGGTAATTCTGAGCTCACTTGATTTTAATTCCCTTGTTACCATGAGCTACCTGACTATCAGTCTCCTTTACAATACTGAAAATTCAGCATTATGTTCACAACTCTTCAGGTGTCATGACAATAACTCACCCAAGTTGATCTGGGGAATGTCTTTGAATATCTCACCAGCTCCAGCATCTGCAAGACAAAATATAGTGTTCGGATGTGGTGGCTTACAGCAAGTAGAAGGAAATGCTTCAAAACTCAAACCAGCTCACATAGCACTTACCTGCTTCATTGGAGAGGTGTCCCACCTGGAAGAGAATGGAATACAACCAGTATAAGGCATGAGATGCCTCTGGACTGAAAGAAGCCTGTAGAAATCAGTTTTACTTACAGAGACTGGAGAACCATAGACAGAACATAGCACAAGTGTCAGGCAGAGTGGGAAGATGCTGGAGCCCATTTTTGCAGTGGGAACAGAAGCTGGTCCTCCTCATCTCTGGCAATATATAGAGCACGTTGCTGAGATTTCCATGGTGCATCAGCCAACCAGCATCAGACTCTCCACCTTTGAAACATTACTATACGATTGGGATTTCTTCCTGTATGGCACCTGATGGCATTGCTCTTATCAGCTACCTAAGTTCACTTGGAGGAACATTGCTGAGAGGAATGTGGTAACTTCATATCTTCAGTGCAGCTGGTGAGAGACCCACCCAGACTTCACATAACAGCCTGTCCATCTGGCCCAAAGCTGCTGACTCCTTCCCCTGTGTTTGCTATCTGTCAGCATTGTGATCTCCCCATGAGAAAAGCCATACTCTTAAGCAGAATTATTCCAGGTTAATAGCACTGCAGCGCCTAAAGGCTCAGTGCTGCTTTCAATTAATAATTAACATCACATTGTAAAGATTAGAAGTAAGAGAGATATGATTATGAATTCCCTGACAGTGTTTTTCCTCAGCTGTTCCCATCTCAGAACTGATACTCCATGCAAAACCTGCCATTCTCTGCCTCCAGAAGCAGTCACTCATAGCAGTAATCCTTGGCCTTCCAGGTGGGTTTCAGACATCACTAACTCTTGTCCTGCATCTTGCTATCTTCTTTCTCAGGGACATGTCAGGGTCAGGAAGGGCTCCATAAATCTCTAGTTTGCTGTGTATCAGCATTCCCACAGCTCCCGTTTGTCCTGGAGTGCCTGAATGCCTTTAGCTTAGGCGTGGAATCCTGCTCCTTCATTTCACATCTGAAATTACAAGTCACGGAAGTGAGGATGTCCACCTCTATGTTCAGCAATTAGACAGGAAAGAGCTTGTGCCATGACACCACTACCCACAGCACAAGGCAGAGAGCTTGAGTAAGTTGGTTTTGAGTAGGAAATGGTCCTGTCCTAGAAAGGAGTCAGTCCTTCAACCTAAGCAACATATTTTCTCTAAACAAATCAAAGTAGGAAGCTATCCATAAGAGATAACATTGCAGAGGAAAATATATAGAGATCTTTTCTCATTTGGAGAAGAAGGGCCCCGGAGCACTAATCTTTCACCTAACATAAATGAATGTTCTTTAACAGTTTCTTTTAGGAATTATTGTTTCTGACACCTAAGCTGAACAGGACGCACTACTAGTAAAATAAGCATGTCCCAAGACACATCATGTGAGGGTTGTTTTCACAGGTGAGCAAAGAGAGTCAAAACACAGCACCGAGACCACATTTCTAGATGTTTGGCAGTGGATGTGAGAAAGGAAGCAAAAAATTGGAAGGAAAAGCAGAGCTGTCTGAAAACCACTTTTTTTTAGTGTTAACTTTAAAATAACTCAAGCACCTGAAGAGGATGTCTAAAGTAATTCTGAGGGCATATATCTGTTTTCTTAGATATATATGGTGTATCTTGGACTCCTTTTAGGCACTGGACTAGGCTCTAAGGTCCTGGAGCCTTCTCTTCTCAAGGCTGAACAGCTCCAGCTCTCAGATTGTCTCCACAGGAGAGGGGCTCCAGCACCAGTTTCATTTTGTCCTCCCTGGAGGGCAGTCCATGCACATTATTCCATTGGCTGCAGTTCTGTAAAAAACTTGATGATGGGAAAAGCTGTTGTTTTTCCACTCTGGGTAGTACAGCAGGTACCTTTTGGTCTCTTACACCACATTGTATGCAATGCCCAAAATTCCTGTGCATCAGTATTCCCACATCCAAGGGCAAATCCACCCAGGATTCCTAGACACAGGCACTACCTGCTGTCACTCGATGTAGATAATTCCTTTCGTTAATCTGCTTGCACTAGCTTTAACACCACTGTAAAACAGATAAACTCAGAGACAGAAATGTGGCTGAAATTTATGTCCTTCGTAAAAGCAAGAATAAAAACAAATGTCTTCTGAGCTGGAAAAACTCCAGAGTTTTTCAAAGTGGCACCAACCATATTTTTAATAAAAAATTACTCAGTCAGCTTCCCAATTTTTAGGTAATTCTGTTTCTCTTTGCAGGGCTTGAAATAACACAGGACTGAACTGGTCAAATACCTCCAGGTTAACAATTTCAGACTTCAGATCTGAAATACATAGCAGAAGATAACAACAGTTCTTGCTCTGTTTTTAAAGTATTATAAATATCTATAATTCTTCACAGAAAGAATGAGTAAGTGTAAATTAGAAGTAGGAGCATATATAAAAATATCTGTCTTGATGAAAGAGCAAGAGGCTGTTAGCAACATTCTCTGACTGGAGTAATTTTGGCAAAGGTCATAGAGAGATAATATTTTATTGGATAAACTGATAGGGCTGAGACAACCAAGCAGGCTTTTGGACATCCAGAGCATTGTTCAGGTTCCACCGGAAAATTTTATTGCATGTTATAATGTGATCTGAAATGTCATCAACATAGAGGTCAGGGCCAGTAAAAAGAGATATAGGACAGATACATATTATTTTACAAGCAATTTACTATTTATTTTTCCTCCTGTATTATTGAAAACTTCAAATACTGTCTAAAATCAGATGCCAACAAGGATAATGCTCTGAAATACTTTACTTAGAAAATATCTGTCTATCCTCTCAGCCTGTACTGAGCTGGAATTGGTAGGAAGAGACACGACACAAACGGTAGAGCAGATCAATCAGAATGTTTTCCAGATTAGGATTCCCTGACTTGATTCCTCAACTCGCTGCCCTGGCTGTGCTTTGCTGAGTGCAAACCCCACTCTGAGTGA